GCCACATCTGACCATTCGACTCAGCTGCCTATTCAGGCGATTTTGTGCTTCGCTACTCTGTGAATGATAGGGTCTCAGCTTGCCTATCTCTGACCAAATAGTCTGTCTGAAAATTTATTCCTCCTTAAATATATATTATTATCAATTAAGCCTAAGGGATCGTTATTTTTTAAGTATAAATGTTTCAGTCTTAGCTCTTCAATAAGATTATTTGCATCCATACACAAGAAACAGGAAAATACTGAACTAGCATATCGATGATGTTTGTTCGATCTGGTTTTCGTAACTTGGTCGGAGCGTCAGGAAGACCTTCTTATTGTGAATTGCTCTTAAGCGGTATTTGAGTAGACGTAAGAACAAACGTGTGTAGATAGGCATATCGACCATATGAAAGGTTGAAATTAAGAAACGCAGAAGTTAGAACTTTGAATATCGGTGTGGAATAATGCCACAACAGTTGAATAAAAAATAGGTCAAGGAAATGGCTTTTACTTGTCACTTTAATGAGTTGTGACTGTCAAAATGATGACGCCTCTTACTTGCGAATTCCACTACGTGGCCAGCGTAACTAATGTGTAGGAACCAAGACCATTTTCTGAAGCTGTACACCCACTCCAGACAATTGAAAAGGAAATCCTAGGTATGCTAAATAAAGTACGATAAGCTTATTAAATTATAAATTATAGTTCTTGAGTAAAATTTTAATTTATAGTTGTCGTTAATATTTTTGTCACGGATCATTTAGAACTAACCAAGATTATGTTATTAAGTGTTACTATTTATTTTTTTATCATAGGCATCGCATTATTATAATTTAAAAAGTTTACACTTATATATCATAAACGGTTCTTTATGCAGATATGATTAATAGTTAAAATATTCGATTACGAGAAATTAATGTCTTCGCGCGTATGAATAATGCCTATTAAGATGATAGCTAATTTCGACCTGTTTAAATAAAAAACTTTCCCCTTAAAGTTAAATATTTTTTTAAGCAGAAAATCTATTCAGAAGTTTGCACTAAATATTTTAATAAATATTAGTGGCTTGTTATAATAATTTTATAACAGCGCGCTTTGCCCGTTCTACCATAAACTTTGAGGCTATAATGGGCAGGTTTAGCGAGATCACCGAGCGAGTAGATCGCTATGTAGACAAATATGTAGAAGAGATGACTGTTTGTTTTCTTTTTGTTTACTCTAAGGTGTCTGTTGCTCTTGAAGAAGCTTTGGGCCATTTTATTACAATTGATGATGAAAGCATGCTTGCGATGGACGTGTACAGAACAGAAAAACTATGGGAAAATATTTTACCATTAAGAATGGTAGTTATTTTTTCTCTCTATTTCAGAAACTTCACTCTCTTGAATATCTTGTAAAACGGATTTCAACAATGAAAAATGAGCGAGTGATTCTTCGCTTCTTATGGAGTATTGATCAGTTGATTGCAAAAGGAGTTTATTCTCCAAGGTTGTTTTTAAGATATATTTTAATTTCCTAGGGAAGTTGCTCATGCGTTTGTATCTTCAGAACAACTCAAAATAAGCAATGGTGCCTTTTTCAGATCTGTCTATAAATTCCTACTAAAACTAATTTTCTTCCTTGACTATAAGGTATTTTACGCTTATCTAACCAAAATAGAGTAATCGTGAGGTTTTCCACAAAAGTATTGAGAAATCTTTCATATTTCCGAATGATGAAATTAACTCTAGGGGGGCTGGTCGGGTACTTGATACTGTTGTCGAGGTATTAATTGTGCGATCATTTATATTTAAGCTCATTCAAACACTCCTATGTCGAGAAATGTACTTAATGCCCGCATATTTTGCCATGCATGAACTTATAAAAAGTTTTCCATATGAATCGAATGCGAAGCCTCATAAAGTAATGTGCTTCATAACATATATTTCTAGTCGATTGAAAAGGACGTTCTTGATTTTATGGAAAGTTTTTCTAAGCCAGCTAGGTTTCTATACTCTCACCGTAAGTTTTATTTAATTCCTTTTTTTTATCAGGACAGTATATTTCTATTTTATTTAGTCCACAAAGCAATGACGCCTTTCTGTGGAATAACTCAACTAACCGCGCCTCCTTTCCGTCTAGAAATGACAACGTTAGTTCTTACTTCAGTAAAGGGTGCAATGCGTTATCCAAAATACCTCACAACCCCTCAATTGCCTCTTCTTTGTACACTTTTGGGTCAATTGCGAAGTGCTGAACTTGTAACTAGTATTCTTGACTCTCCTCCTGGCAAAGGGGTAAGAACTCAAAATAATCAACATTATTTGATTCTATTCTTCTCCATTCTTACATATATTTTTTTCCTCTGCCTTGTTTTTTTCTATTTCACCCTAATATGAGATAAATCGTCTATTAAGTTGGCCTTTATCGTAAAAACATTTATATCCCATGCTGATGTACGTTTAATTTCGTTTGAAGAGGTGTATAGAATGGATACATGAGATAGCCGTATCAGAAACCTAATGATTACCTTGAAGTTGTGGTTCTAGATTTATGCTAATAAGTCCTAGACGCACTATCCCGCGACTCATAAATTCGTGCCGATCTTTCGTCTGTCAAGCGACAGATATCCTCAGATCGGGACGACATATTTTGCGATAGTACACCAAGCACAAAGACATTATAGTTATTATGAGGTTATTATTATTATTATTGTATTTTCGGTTTTCGCTTTGTTAATCTGTATGCAAAATCGCAATCGGTTTATTTTTTATTGAATAAACGATTCGTTTTTAGAACGATACATCATTTTTTTATTGCCTTCATGCTCTAAAAAATATTTATATTTTTAGAATAATTTATGACAATGCCTTTGCATTCAAATCTTTCCTCGCAGTTTCTTTTCGCTGTATGGTCTTGATTTGACCTTGTTTTCGCAGTTTGTTTGAGCACCAGGGAGTAGTTGAGCATAGCAAGTCAACGTTTCGCTGCTGGAAATTATCATGACTACTATGGGGTAGGAGGCAGAGCTAGGAATCTTCAGCAAGTTCTACTTGCCGCTCCGATCAAGTTGCGAAAACGAGATCAACCTAACACCTTTTATTTGGGTAGATTATTAAAGATAAACACTTATTTTGTCATCAATCAAAGGTCTTTTGCTACATGGATACATTTATTTTAAGCAAGCATAATTTAACCTTTATTTATCCGGACCATTCACTTTCAAAATGTTATTCAACCCTTGTTTATGTTTTACTATGTTTTTGTGTTGTTAATTCATTCTAACTTCAGAAATCGCGTTCTATGTGGCTTGAGCTAGCTCTTGTAGAGTTGATCGTCCAAGTAGTCCAGTTAGCAGAGATAAATTTGGACCT